ATAAGCGCCCCATTTCCCAAATCTGCAATCATATCTATTACTTTATCAAACGAAGAATATTTCACACAAGCAAACTCATCGCTGATAAAATCATTAACGCTTGTTTTCTGAGGGTATGATAAATGTGTTATCAGTCTAATTGAGCCATCCGATTTTGGTACTCCCCCGATGGGGGAAATGCGCATATTTGAGATTGGTAAATATTTAAAAGGACCCATAATTCTTCCCAATTTAATTTCTTTCATTATTTTTTTCCTAATTTCTACTTTGTAATCATTAGCCGAAAGAAGATTTTCTGAAAATACATGAAATCGCGGACCGATATAATGTATTCTGAAACCCTTAGTAAAACCTTCATATAATTCTACTGCTACTTTCTTTTTAGGATACCCAATCAATAATTCCTCCAAAACGTCAGATTTAATTGGCGTTTTGCCTAGGGCCCATAAATCGTTGACCATTTGATCTAACATTGTTTGCTCTAATACTTGGTCTGTTGAATCGCGCGTAGGGAAACCTGGGAAATACACCTGTTTGGTTTTGTTGAGGCTGGTTTTGCATTTGGGTACGAAAACCCCCAGAATTATTCATCGGACAGCTATAAAACGGGTGTGCTCCGTTACACTTAATGCAGATATGATTGTAGGTACACGGAAATTTAAAACAGCTTCCTTTAAAATTGTAGTCGTAACATTTAGAAGATGACATGCTTTGCCTGCCAGATGGTCTTGAGACCTGGCTGTTTTCTGTTTCTTTACCAAGCATACAAAGCAACCAAAGTTTGGAATCGACTACCCCCCAACTACTTGTGGGATTCTTGCTCTTTTTAAGTCGATACTGTTCATCATAACTTTTCCAACCCAGACCTCTATGTCTCATAGCCGCAGTCCTAACTGTTTGCATATACTTTAATAAATCTGTAGCCTTTGAAGGATGAGCAGTTATATAGACTCCCATGTATATTATAAACGCATCTGTCCACTTAGCTATATCATCTATCTTTTTTTCATTTTTTTGCTTTAGTGACCAATTCCCCATTTTTGAAACAATAGTTTTTTCCTGGGAGTCTATTAAATTCGTATTTGTCAATAACTGTGCCAAATCAACATAATGACCTGCAATTATTTTTTGTTTCAAACTTTCTGAGACATTGTAACCCTAGGAATCATGAACGCTAACTAATGGATTTGGCATTTCTGAACAATCAGTTTCTTGTATATTTAGTAAAACTTCCTCACCCGACAAAGAAGCATTCTCCTCTGACTGTGTTTCCTTTGCTTGGGCCACCTTCGGCTTTTTGGCGGGGACCTCGGTTTTCTCCTTTAAACCACGTTTTCCATTTGTGGTTTCATTCAGTTTCGCTCTAGCAGCCACAGATTGTTTTCTTGCACTCAACATTTTTACAGCTCTTCAAATTTTTGTCTAAATTACTTCTCTTTATAATTCCTTTGTGATGAAATCAACTTTCCCGAGGGCTGTGTGTTATCAGAAAGAGGGAAATTTAGTTTGAGAACGCGTTATATGACACTACCTTTCCCCGCCTACTCGAAGACTGACGTTAAGTAAGCTAGTTGTACAAGTTATCACCCTTTGCTTGTAAAACCATCACTGTTGTCTTTCTTCAATAAACTCATCTATTTTTTAAATAATAGATGTTGTCATTATTGCGTTGCTATAAATGTGAAGTATGGGAATTCTAGGCCGGGGAGCACAATTAATTTTTTTTTCTTTATAAACGAACATAATTTTCTTATATTAAAAAATTGTGATACAAATAATTTTTAAACGATGAGTCATTTATAGCCTTTTTATGCATAAAATTGGTTGATTAATAATTGTCTTATAAATGAATCATAATTCACATGCATCGGTAAATACAATGTTAAATATTTCCGGGGGATGGGGGGTGTTCAAATGTAAACACAAACTTTGAGTTTTTGTTATTAACACGTTTTTATAGATAATTTTCTTTTTAAAGAAAATGTTGTGTTTTTTTTCGGGATGCGCCTGATGCACCCCTTACAAATGTATTGGAATCTTCTTTACACTTCCGACACTCTTCTTACGACTGTGATCAAGGTCATTTTCAACAGCGATCACGGGCTCCGCGTACCGGGAACGGAAAATTTGTTCTGCTACATGTACATGTATTATCTTTTGTCAATCATGGTTATGATGACACCCGACAATAACGATTGATTTTTAATTCGTGAAATTTAATAGTTGCATTAGTATTTAATGGGTAAAAATAAATACCCGTGGATTTTATTTCTTAAAGGATGACTGCACTTAAGGACATGCGGAATTTGCGACAAAATAAAGTTTCAAAACAAGCATTTTTCTTTGCATTGCAAGAATAGTCAACGTCCAATCTACAACTTTATGTAATTACGTTTAATAAAAGTGTGTATTTACGAAGTTCGAATCTGTTTTCAAAGGCAGGGGTCATCACAATTTCTTGAATCTCCGCTCGATAATGAGGACGCCCACTTTTTTACTGACTTTATACATAGTCAGCGCATGTTTGTCTATTGTTCTACGGTTAACAGTAGTTGTATATTTGCATAAATAATAATGTGTCAAAAGGAGATTAATAGACAAACATGCGCTCATGGTTAAAAAGGGAAAAAACTGCTTCTTCTTAAATTCGCTCTCTGTGTTGTAACCAAGGATTGTGACATGTTGAATATTATAATTCACCACTTGATTTCAGGTAACTTTGTGAATACTAAATTCCGTCACGTGACTTGTAAGGTAGCATGTTTTGTGCTAACTAGGACACTGTGTTCGAACACGTTAAGTCATCTGGCATTGATATAAAATCTGCTTTAATTACATTGACGTGCTCATATTGTTGATTTCGTTTTGAAACCTTTGTCAGAAGTGTATTTGTGCCATACAGAATGGAGAGGGAGATTGGAAAGAGTGATCACCTTCGCTTTTCCAAACATGTCATTGTTATTTATCAAGTCTAATTTTTGACCCATTCTTACAATGTTAGCTCCACCTCTCATGCATATCTAATGTTCAATCAAGGGCAGGTAGGTGTAAATTCACTATAATTGGAAAGCAGTAAGGACAAAAAACATTGAATCATTTTATTGTATCACAGTCTAAAATCATTTTAAGATTTAAATGTGGTTCCAAATTGACAGTATACTTTCATGAACATACAAAAGTGAGATAAGGTTCAGATATAAAAGCAACAGAAGCAACCGAAAAAGAACAAAAAACAGGCTTTAAGTGCAGTCATCCTTTATCCGATTCTCTGTAAACAGTGAATTAATTTGCCAGTGTATTCGTGAATAATAAAATATAAACAGCTGATAAAGAAAAAAATCCGGAGTAATTATAAATTAGTTTAATTATTAATCACGCAGTTCTAGAGCATATGTTTTTAGTTTTTAGGACACTGGACATGTATTCATATATATTGAATGTATTGTTAAGAGCCGCGACTATTGATTACATTTTTTTTTTTTTTTTGTCTAGACGGGATTTGAAATCAAGGATTTTGCAAGGTGGTGGGTATATTGTTTTTATTTGATAAACACAATGCCTCAAAATGGAGAACTAAAGCATTACAATACCTATCCCCTCGGCTTCTCTACCATATTAAATTTTAATGATAAGTCAAAGTTTTATTCTGTAATGAATCGATATATTTACCATTCTAATTAAACTGCAGTTAATGAATTACATGTATCTCGTCCCGCTGGAGATATGGATATCCTTTTTTTCTTAGAAAGGACATTTGTTTCTATAATAATTTTTCCCAATGGTATACTTACTGAAACAAGTGCCAGTTACAATGTACATTAAGCCATGAACAGAAGCAAGATCTCGGTAATCTAACACCCCCCCCTCCCCAATCCTGCACAATGTTCTTATTTGATATAGAGTACATATTACCTTTGCAAATTATAAACAGAACCTAATTCAATCAAATGAAAGTATTTATTTACTAAATCAAAAAATGAATAAATAAATCAATAATAAAAAAAAAAAGAAAGAAAATCAATCCGTTTACAGAAATCATACACAATTTAATCCCTTTTTTTTCAAATCAATAACTGGGTTTATTTGTCAGCAATAAAACGATTTGTTAATATCAAACTATAATTGTAAAAACATTGAATGCTGTAAAGATTATGAATGAAAAATATAATTATTTTTTTCAGTGGTTAATTTAGAGTCTAGTGAAAAAGTTTTGTACATAGACAATGAAAGGCATTTCACCGGGCGCGTCACATACTCAGTGACAACTATAATATTAATAAAATACAACTTAACATTGTGTATTTTTATCTGTTAATATAGTACTGGTGTAGCGAGTTCTAATCCTAACTTAATCTGAATGATTGCAATTCTTAACTAATCTTTGATTAATCAGTTATTTACTTAATTTAACTAAAGTCCGAGAGATTCCGAATAGAAAATCCAGATTGAGGCCAAAACGTGCGAGAATCGTGTACAAAGCGTGAGAGAAACGTGTACAAAGCGTTTTGTGCAGGCTTTCGTGTAAACCGTGCAGCCTTTCGTGCAAACCGTGTAGCGTTTCGTGTAAACCGTGCAGCGTTTCGTGCAAACCGTGTACATAGCGAGCGTGTACCGTTCGTGCAGCGTGCGTGTGGGGTAGTAGCACGTTTCAGGGTCTGTAGGTCGCTCCTTAATATGGAAACACCCCACAGTAGTGTAGGGTAAACTTGTGTAAATCATGGCCCTGAGGCGAAGGCGGGGCTGGAATAGCAGTAAAAGCTTTAAGTGGAAATATATAGAATAAATCTTCTAGAAGGAAAAAATGCACATAAAAATTTTTTGAGGATAAATATTTGGAATCAATATCTTTAATATACATTATATGACACACTGTACATAGTAAAAAAAGTATTATGAATGTTCATGGAAATGTTCAAACCAAATATGAAATTTCTTCCATTTTTGTCTACATTGAGATTCATAAAATAATATCATTAGGACATTTTGAATAATTAAAAAAATCATTGAAAACGCTGAAGGAGATCTCGTATTCTCATTTCTGTAACAGTTTGTATTTGGTGATTGGGATATTGTTGGAGTGATTGATGGTAGGAGTCCAAAGCAGCCTGGAGATTCCCGCAAACCTGCTGACAGATTCCCAGTATCTGCCATGATATGTCTTTATATGCGTCATCTATGTATTCCTCTCTGTTGTATTGGACCAGGACCTGTAGATCATACAGAGCCGTATGTGCTCTCCTTATATCGATGTGTTTGTAACACAAGACCTCCAACATATGTAAGAGCACAAACGGTGGAATAGACAACAATGTTTCATTGTTCTGCATGCAATTCTGTTGTTCTGGTATTAATTCATTGATATATATGTTAGGGATCTCATTGTGAAGTGTTACTTCTTTTGCTACAGCCTTTCTTATCTTGGTAGACCAGGACAATCCCCCCACAGCCTCAATATACCTCTCTATATTTACATTATGATCATACATAAGATATGGCTTTGCTAACCTGCCCTTCGTAATTTCTAAAACGGAGAGTGCTTCAATCCATCTGAATGTTTTGTAATAAAATATTGCAAAGTACAATATGTCAGATATAAACCCAAACTTAGATGTTAGTTTCAGCATGTTGCGTGATATTTTGTCAGTGATAAACTTCACCTTATTTGTTCCTCTGTTTGGGTACATGTCTGCTAACACAAAAGCAGTTCCTTGGAGAATGTGGACAGTAAGTGCTTGTAATAGACCTGCCTGATATTCTGTCAGACATAAGCCTCGTATCTGTTCTACTGTATGTAGAGCCTTCAAACAATGATATAGGTCTTTTGTAGGTGTTAGAGAGGAAATTTGTATTTCTTCACTTACTTCTGCGTCAAACCTAATTTCAGAGATAAGTTTTCGATCATTCGTACATATAATGCCTCCTGGAATAAAGAGCATTTTTATAACAAAAGACCCTATGCAGGCACTATGCAGCAAGGAAGCTAAACCCTTCTCATACAGTCCATACAGTCTAGTGAATAAATCTTGTTGTGCTTCACCATGGATATTACTCAAAAAACATGAAAAATGAAAAAATTTGGACAGTATCCCTGATATACCCATTTAATGATAAATTTAAAGCATAACCAAAACACTCCAAGAGATTCTCTGGACACCAGAAAGGCATTATGTTTGTCTGAATCATCCAGAAAACTGCTGCCTTGACATGATAGGAACACAGTAACTTATCCTTATCGTCCAAACCATTGTTGATTACCTCTTTTAAGTAAATTTTAAGCAAGCCATATACCAAGAATTGACAGTGATTCATTGAGTTCACAAGAATTTGCTCCGCTCGAGAGAATGAAATTCTCCATTCAGTGTCGTAATGGTTTCCAAGTTTATGACCTATTGCTACACAATGACATCCATTTCGGACTATGTCATGAACAATACGAGGCTTGGGCCATGATTGACATCTGTCTACCCAAGAGGTGGCAGATGGGGGCCAAAAGTCACTGAAAAGACATTGAGCATCATCATAGTCATACAGACCACGATAATTTCCGCTGTTGCATAGCCCATGTTGAAAAAGGTTAGGTCTTGATTTAATTCCAAATCGCGCCATTCCTCTGTACTTAGAACTAGATAAATACAGTTTCCCATTCATTACAATACATGTTGGCGGAATTGGATATGTTACATCAGATGTGAGTAACTGAAGCAAAGTAAATCCAGGAGGACTATAAGAACAATCCGATAAGAACAACGATTCTTCGTGGTAAGACAGAACCTGAAAAATATTCCAGATTACTCGAAGGTTATTTTGCCAGTGCATCGTGTCCCAGTCAGATTCTTTGAATCGGAACCCTTCTTTTCTACTTCCGCTTTCCATTTTCAGATTGTAAACTCTGTCGATTTATCCGATTCACCACCATTTACCTGAGGTCGGCCAAATCTCTCCTCCAGGCTACCTGTCGGGGGGTCCCCACCACATGACACAGTCTCATGAACACAGCCCTCGAAATATGCTGCAGACAGCTAACACAGGTTTCACAGACAAGACGAATGAAGATTTATAAGATGACATATAATACCTGGTATTATTATTCTGTGAAAGACGTTAACCGTAACACATGCGCTTTGGGTCATTAACTGAATGTCGAAAAATATGCTTGCCCTATGATTAGCGCGGTAAAGCAAACCGAGCTTGCGTGACAGAGGGCGAGCATATTTCCCTATTTTAAGTTAATAACCTTTGTTTTTTTAAATATTTTAATATTTCTGATTCATATAAACGGAATCTCGTGGGTTTTTTTTTTTTTTTTTTTTGGTCATCATTTTTTCAGCATTTCAACAACATTAGTTACTGAATGTTTTGTAGATAACTATAGTTTTTGACATATAGAATTGCGAGTCAATCGGATAATTAGATAAAAGTAGTAGCGGGGGCATTTACAGTGCGGGTATATATGGCTTTGTAAAGCCCGGGTCTATCGAAAAAATATCTGAATAATGTACTTCTTGTAAATTTCAATTTATTTCATATTTAAATCTAAGGGCAGTTTACTCCAGCTGCAAAATAAAATACCATGGAATCAAAACGCTTTAGTGTATAGTGTATAGAGGGTTCTAAAAATTCAGTAATTAGCAAACATATAAAAATATTTATCATTAACGATAGCGAATGTTTTCATGATTGAATAAATGTTATTTATGTTCCATTGATTGTCTAAATACCTTGCCGAGTTGACGAAGCTTGTTTTTTGACCTGACAGGCAGAACCAGTAACACAGTGTTGAATTGAAAAAATGTCATTTAATCAAAAATGACGAATATAAAACTTGTACAAATAATGGGGGTCAGAAAAGACTAGAAAACATTGACAAACAAAGAGTATCTTCAATAAGTATTATGCAATCTGACCCCCAACAAACATATCATAAAATTACATGAGAATCAACTTCTCAATTACCTACAAAACACAACCTGCCTGTCCACCAAAAAAAGGTGGGTTATCTAAAAAATAAAGGCCAGGCAGGTGAAAACAATTGAAAATTAAGGAGGTAATTATGGGGTTGGATGGAGGGTAATGATAATTTGCGTTGAAAATTTTGCGTGGCTTCTCCTTTCAGTAAAATAATAAACAATGATCACATGATGGTGAGCAGCCACGCTGATTGGCTAAAAAGGCCAAACTGTGGTTTGGGTAAAGCTAGATACATAACAGGGTTACATAAAACTAGGTATGTGTAAAACTAGGAGCATAAACTCCTAAATAAAATTGACAAACATTGGATATGAATAGTACATGTCACATAAAGGTTATTATTTTGTCTTTTATAAATAATAACTTATTTATGTTCCATTGATTGTCTAAATACCTTGCCGAGTTGACGAAGCTTGTTTTTTGACCTGACAGGCAGAACCAGTAACACAGTGTTGAATTGAAAAAATGTCATTTAATCAAAAATGACGAATATAAAACTTGTACAAATAATGGGGGTCAGAAAAGATTAGAAAACATTGACAAACAAAGAGTATCTTCAATAAGTATTATGCAATCTGTCCCCCAACAAACATATCATAAAATTACATGAGAATCAACTTCTCAATTACCTACAAAACACAACCTGCCTGTCCGCCAAAAAAGGTGGGTTATCTAAAAAATAAAGGCCAGAAATCCAATAGGATATTGGATCCGTAGCGAATGTTTTCATGATTGAATAAATGTTATATAGGTAAAAAATAATTCTATGTTTCAGAAATTAAAATAACATTTAAATTATAGCAAACTTTATTACTTATATTTACTTATTAAACGTTTTAGATTATTTTACTTACATGGATGATGAAGAATTGTTACCCATTTTTCAAGAGCAGCTGATAATCATTCAAAGATAAAATTTCTTTGAAATAACTCATACGGAAATAATAATAATATATCCCTAATCTAGAAATTTTTAGTTTCCGCAATTCTTATTCACATTTTTGTACATTTTCAGAGTTCTATTTAAGGACATTTTAAAAATATGTTTCCCTCAGATGCAAGCCAGAGAACGTGTTACAATTAGTGATATGAGACGGCAAAACAGATAAGGAAACAAGGAACTTTTTAGACTTTTATATCTTTTTATATATTAGAGTCTTATCATTGCTATCAGAAACGTTTAAGAAAAGAAGTACATTCATGTTAACTTCTAGGAAAATGACTGGGATATACCATAGAACGATGGTCGACAGCGGCCTTCACTTTTGATTATGAATGTTGTCATATTAAATAGGTTTTTTTCAATTTTCGTTGACAAATTACAACTAAATTGGTAATGCTACATGTACAGTGACTTAACTGACAGTTACTGGAAAGAGATAACATTGGTTAGATCAGTCTTTTGATAATTTGTTTATAACAAGACTTGTCTTAAGTTCAATCAGAGATTCGATTTTTGTATGAAATCGGACATGTCTAGCTTTGATATTTGAATTTTTTTTAATTTTGTTTTGTTTGTTTGTTTGTTTTTATTATAATTATTTTATTTATTTTTGTTGTTTGTTTGTTATTTTTGTTTGTTTGTTTGTTTGTTTTAACAATGGGCACAAGGAAATAATCACAGAAGTTACCTCTAAGAAACTAAGTTACTCTGAGAAATAATTAGCTGACTGGAAGTTTTCGGAGGATGCATTCACCATACAAGCGACATGTTTCCTTTTCTAAAGTTTTGTTTTGCTACATTTCAAAAATTTGAGAGTGGATGCTCTTATGTAGAGCTGGTTTTTCTACCTCTACGTAATAGGTAGAATTGATTGATTCATTGATTGTATGCTGTATTACGTCCGATTCGAGAATTTTTCACTCATATAGAGACGTCACTGTGTGCCAGTGAATGATTTCAAATTCAGACCTATATTTGACACTTAGGGCCATTGAGCAGTGAGGGTTCTATATCGTGCCAACACCTACCGTAACATGGGACCTCGGTTTTAAGGTCTCAAAAATCAATTGACCCGTGACTTTCACTTTTACTGCCGGGCGCTTGGCGAAGGAACAGTCACTACCTATCTTTACGTCTTAGGTTTGATACGGCGCGGCGAAGGAGAATCGAACACGGGCCTCTCGATCACGAAACGAACAGTCTATCACTAGGCTACCTTTACCGGTTTAGGTAGAATTGAGTTGTTTCATATCTCCTGAGATATATTGATCTCTATCCAATGTAACAACTGTATTACTTTTATCAACCTTTTTTACAATCCCAAGATATTTTTAGTGATATGTAACAAAAAAGAAGCGACAAAATGACAATGCTATGATATAACATATCAAATACTTCATCAAATACCATCATGTCGATGGAAGAATAAATTACATTGAACAGTTGTCCGAAGTTTTCTCTAATCCAAGAACTGTTAATCAAAAAAGTTAACACCCTTGAAAATTTCATATATAGCATAGTATTCTAAAGAGAAGGCTTGAAATCTTTGTTAGCAATTTTAAAAAAATGAATTATATTTTGCAAAGTATGATCAGTATACTAGTATTGTCTTAATTTTTTCCATAGAAACACAAATAAATTTAGGATGTTTCCCTTTCGTGTTATTAAGGGGTTGACCATTTGATCCCGGGGGGGGGGGGTATCAGAATTTGAAACCAAACACTTTGTCTTTGAAAATTTTGCATATACATGTGATTAATAATCTCTTCTCCACTAAGAACTATGGGAAGTTTTCTAAGTGAAAAAAGAAAATAAAAATTAAGTTAAAAAACTGTCCCTTAGTATAAATGTTCTGTCTGCAAGGGTATTAAAATAAACAATCTGATTCAAGAAAATCACCACCACGCACCATCCTCTGGGAATTTTAGTTTTCAAAGGTTAGTTTAATAAATATAATAAACAACGCTTTACATGACTGACTGAAATTTTGAATTAAGTCTAGGATTGCTTAATGATCTTGAGTATACAGAATATATACAGGAAAATTAGATTATGAAAATTTATCTCATTAAAAATAAATCAAATCAGAAAAATGTCTATTTTGTAAACAAACAAAAAAAACCTACCCTAAATCCTTGCGTCGGAAACAAAAAATAAATAAATAAATAAAAAAGGAATGGGAATAATAGAAAATCATATCAGGAGTACTGCAAGTGGATCACAGGACCTATGAACATTTTTTTTTTTAAAAAAGAAGGCAAATAGTTTATGTTTTGAAATAAGGCATCTTCAATAAAATATCGATTATCATTAAGATAAAGAAAAAAAAATACTTTTTCGCCCGCACCAGCTATTGTTACATATTGATGAATCCGTTTCTGTGGAACACTTCTGATTTTTTTAGTTCCGATATGTTTCTGGGCACATTAACACCCCCTCCCCTTTAAAAAGGAAAAAAAAAAAAAGAAAAATACAAAATCTTTTCAAGAGAGAACGTATTTTAATAAATTTGTTTCAGTATTCAAAGATAAATTCAAGATTTTGCATTATCCACACACTGCACATTCCGAGACTCAGTCTTACACTCAGAAATGTTGCCAACAATTTCTGTTGACCCCCCCCCCCGGTTTATGATTCTCCATGCCCCTTTGCTTGAGTCAGAAAAACATCCACACTATCTTTGTCCAGCTATGCCACTGAAATAAACATCTTTAACATTATTCATGTTCTTTATCCTTTAGCTGTACATATGTACTCTTGAAAATTTTCGTTATTTGCAACCGACCCTGATATCGAAATTTTCCATCAATAAGAGAAGGAGAAAGTTGGAGGACAGATTGCTTATAACACACATACTATTGGTGGAAACTGTCACGTTGTAAATATTGAATTTACCGGGTGGCAGTAAATACATAATTTACAACATGACAACTGCCACCCTGTAAATTCAAAATTTACAACA